TAAGTGTTAAGCAAGTGACCACCGAAAAGTTTGTATTCCTATATTGTTTTCTTTCTTTGTATCCCACATCCTAAACCTGTCACTTGGTCGTGGTGGTCGGGCTGCAGTGCGGAAACGGTCATGCAGACTATATTGGCTGCAACCAATGACAAGAAGGTCACAGAGGAGCTGCCGGAAATCGTATTACGAGGAAGTCTGGAGGTAAAGTCGTACTGCGAAGAAAGTGAGGAGGAAGTAAGCAGTGGTGTTCCTTTCCTCTGAGAGATGGGTAAGAAAAAGTTGGCCCCAAGAGTCAGATATTCCGAAATCCCAGCGGTTGACCGTGACCACTATAGCGTTACACTATAGTACAAAAGACACTTCATGTGCGCAACCTCATTATGAATCAAAGTCATGCCTGACCCCCCTGGACTCGGTTCGGGTCAGCTCCCTGCAGCTAGGTTGATCGAAGAAGTAAGTAACTGACTCCAGTGGGCATACGTCAAGAAGACTCGAGCACTCTCTGTTAAAACGTTTAGGTCAAAAACCATAGACAGGGTCGCCGAACAAGACCATGCATCCTCCCACTGCCTTGTGGGTCAAACTTTCGAATCCAGGGTACTTCAGCCAACCTCCTTTCTACTGTCTTTATAGTTCACCTGGCCACCTTCAATACATCTGGGAGAATTCAAAGCGCCAGAATGAAACACTAAAAGAGGTCTGTAATTAGCAAGAGAAATCCAGCGTGAAGAACCGTTCCTCCAACCTGACAAGGCACTCAGTACGAATGATTCGCACTCCACACTTTTTCAAAGGTGGTGAGCAGTCTGACAACCCTACCACAAAAGATTTGAGGCGGAAACAAAATAGCAGTGGAATTGAGCGCCTCGACCAAACGGGCGAAAGAAAGCCATGCAAAACACCAGCCTGGTAGTAGTGGCATGTACAGTCATTTCTGGCACTATTTTGGGCAGGTTGACAGATTACCTGGAAATAAAAATTTGTGAGAGTCAAGCTGAGTTTGACCCTGGACGAAGATGCATAGTTCAACAGCACCGCCTTCGAACGGTTCACGTTGGTTGTACCTCTCTATCTGAAAACTGTATCGACTGTGTCGATTGTTTGAAACTTTAACGGTGTCTGACGGTCAAAGGTGTCAAAATTCATATTCTTAATGAGGAGCCAGATTCAAAACTGGTGTGGACGGATGCGGGTACACATAAACGTTTCATCTGAGTTCACCGATGCTAGTGTTATAGGACAATGCTGCTGAGTTACCCTCGTTCTCCAAATTTGTCATTTACATTCCACCTCGAACTTCTTTGCCTGGATCTGAAGTTGCGAGGAACGAGACGCTCCCGAGACCTCCGCTCGGACATCGAGGACGATACTGCTCTCCCTGGTTCAGATATTTCCAGGATGCAAATCGTTTTAAATAGCTTGAAATATTCTGTGGCACAATTTGATATACGCTTTGTACCTGCAAAGTGTAAACTAGTGCTAAAAGACTGGATGAGATCAGATCCACATTTCATGTTTGCAAATGAGCCAATCGATGTGGTGGATACATTTTCTTTTCTTCGGGTACCATGGCAGCTAGGCACCAAAGGGTGTTAGAGATGAATAACCTTAATGATGAGGTTTCGGGGGACTCGCCCGATATGAAAGTACTTCTCGAACGGGAAAGACCAGGGCAGCTTTGGAAACCTCGGATACTAATTTCATAGGCGTGAGGTCAATCTCTTTGTCGATGGCTGAGCATACACTGCAACATTGGATTCACATTGCTCTATGGATAAAAACATGGCCTTTAGGTGCGTTGGATGTAGGAAACCTGTCAGTATTTGATCATCAGTTTCGGGTCCGATACACCAGAAGGTTATATGAAAGAGGAACTCTTTTGCGATGGCCGAGCCACTCAAAGATCATTCGTTATTCCAGTTAGGAAGCGTCTCGCCCGTTTGCAAACCCTTGGTGCCTCAGAGCTCTTTTCGTCCAGCCCTGTGCTGTGTGAAAGCGACCGAGAGGTAGAAGGTCTATGACATGGCAACAAACTGTGAAATCACTAATCAGCGAACTAAGTCGGATGAATAACTGCCGCCTCACTGGGTGGGGATCCCGGGTCTCAACTCATTAATGATCAAGGACAAAGAGAAACGTGACTCAATCATGCAGTCAGTAGCACTCGTACAGAAAAGCTGTCGCATTCAGTACACAGCAACTCAGCTTCCCGTACCTCAGAGCAATGCACAGTATGGACTAACTGATCAAGCCATCGCCACCACTACTTGGCTATGTGTCTCATGGTACCCCAGTTTCGGTGACTGAAAGTGTAGCAGCTGGAGCTATGAAAGTACTTCTCGAACGGGAAAGACCAGGGCAGCTTTGGAAACCTCGGATACTAATTTCATAGGCGTGAGGTCAATCTCTTTGTCGATGGCTGAGCATACACTGCAACATTGGATTCACATTGCTCTATGGATAAAAACATGGCCTTTAGGTGCGTTGGATGTAGGAAACCTGTCAGTATTTGATCATCAGTTTCGGGTCCGATACACCAGAAGGTTATATGAAAGAGGAACTCTTTTGCGATGGCCGAGCCACTCAAAGATCATTCGTTATTCCAGTTAGGAAGCGTCTCGCCCGTTTGCAAACCCTTGGTGCCTCAGAGCTCTTTTCGTCCAGCCCTGTGCTGTGTGAAAGCGACCGAGAGGTAGAAGGTCTATGACATGGCAACAAACTGTGAAATCACTAATCAGCGAACTAAGTCGGATGAATAACTGCCGCCTCACTGGGTGGGGATCCCGGGTCTCAACTCAGGTTCATTCGTATCAATTAACTGTATTAACTGTCGATAAATGCGTTTGGAGCTTATCACAATGAAAAGGTACTAGCGCCCGATTAACCTAGTAATTCGAAAGACAACATGAGCTATTGGAAACAGCCTCAATGGTAACGTAAGAAAGAACGATACGTAAAAAGTGAATCTGCTCCACAACTCTGTTATCTAGATGTCCGGGCAACATATAAATCGTTCCTTAGATGGACAAAAGAGTGCGAGTATGAGAATGAGCTGCCATCGGATTTTCAAACAATCATCCCGTACCAACTACAATGAAGAATAGTTCCTGACCGTTGATAGCGACCCGAGGATGTCGTTAGCGTGAACATCGTAGGCCGAAGAAGCTTTGAAATTTCGTCTGAATCTCAGGTCGGCATCGTCTGATTATGCAACTGAAGGAGTTATTCAAAACTATAGACAGCGAATACCCACCACGTAAATTCCGGAAGCGGACAGGGACCGACAGTGGTTCAGCTTCCAGTCCGATTATTAACTTATTTGTTTACCTGAAACGTGCTGGTACAAAGTCCAACATGTCAAAGTTTACGTTGACCAAGTGTAAACTTCGTGACAAAATCAAAAGCAGCGGATAAGCGGTCTGGATAGCTCGGTCTCATTAGCGATCGGCATGTCTGTCTCCCGCATACAGCACTGAAACGTTCACAATCAGCCGATGAATGTGTGAAACCTCATATGTAATGTAAATGGTAGGCGAGGGTCCAATGAAAGGAAAAACACGTTGATAATGAAGGGTACTCGCCTCTTCCCGATACGCGTTCAGATCATCACGACACAATTTGCAACGCGTTTCTATCGGGCAAACACTCCTAGTAGTCAAGTGACCTATGACGGATCGTAATTTTCGACGGAGTGGCACATACACGGTGAGTTCGAAAAGTGTTTAGTTCGCTCCGCTGCGTGAACACTAAACACATCATAGTCGTATACATAGAACGCATGCATTCACCATCAAATCTTACCAAGTACCTGGTGATAAAACGACAATAAAAATCCAATTGTCATAAAACTTTATGAGTGAGGACCAACTTCCCGATGTCATTTGAGCTGACTTCAACATATAGGTAGCCGGTTGTTTGTACATATTTACCTACCCAGCTGCACACTAGGTGAAAGGTTCGGGATGTGAGTGTCCTACTACACTGAACAGTTCAGCGTCCCGAAATCTTAAAAAATCCAACGGATTTGAAAGAGTATGGTGGCCACTGTGGTTCAGCGCCCTTTACACACTTCAAGACACGATCGTCGATCGCTATATCTATGAGTGGTATGTTAGTGGTTATCAGCATCTTCATTTTCTTGCACGCCTGATAAGCGAAAATGGGATTCAAGGCCTCTGTGTAGCATGGTCAGTCTCAAAGCGGTCTGGGTTCAAAAAGTAATGTATGTCAATCCGGAAGAATGCAACAACTTTTCGGCGGTTCGTTTATCGAACTCAGAAACAAAGCCATTAAACACATTGCACCACAGTAAATAAGTTGTCCACATCTAGGGTGCCGGAACCTACAATTTATTACACCCAGAAATAGCTACCAAGTTTTTTTCCGTACTTAATATCCCGCATGCATTCGATTCGTATTCCGTCGAAACAAAATACGAAGCATGACCGTTAAAGCGATTAATGCTATTCCTCAGCATAAAAAACAAAGCATGCCGATAGATGAATGCCAGTCATTTATGGACAACACAGTGGAGAAATACACGCTGTATTCCACTGAGATAGACTTCATAAAGCGTTTCGTCCAAACCTCGATTTTAACTACTTCATGCTACTCATGACCCAATTATATACCTTCAGCAATATGTCACTTTGATCTAACGCTTCGATTATGTTTAGCAAAAAAACTAATAGAAAGACGCTTACAAGAGGTTACAGCTACATACTGTATCAATTAGGAATTCCACGGTTCCTTCTGTCTTTTGGAATAGCTGAGCTTCACAAAACCGTTCTTAATAAGAGAAAACTCCTTAATTGCCTCCTTAGCAATGCTGATTGCTTTGTCATATGGTGGACCGATTCAATAAAGTGCGTGAACTCGCCTACCGGTTCATTCATTAGACTGCTTGATTCAAGAGTCGACATTAACAGTGAAAGTCAAAACTTGATGAATCTTCTGATTTAGTACCAACGAAAAGAGGTAACAGGGCAATATCAACTCACTAGTGACCAATCTGAGCCAATGTAGGGGCCTATACGGCAGATCACTAGCAATCCTTGTTGTTGTGCAGTGAAGATGAAATGTTCTACATCTGCCATGCCCTCGAAGGTGTACTCGCCTTCTTTGCGTTCATGAAAATTCCAGGGAATATCTCTGTGAAAGAAGCAAGAAGGGAGCCCAATGACAACAATCTTCTAAGTCGTTCGTCAAAAGAAGACTGCCTAACTGTTGCAATGGCCGAAAGTCTAGTAAGCTGTAAAACAAATGGGTTGCTGCTGTCATTTTGTAACTTGCTAGACCGTATGTGGAAATAAATTGAGGTTGAACAGCACTAGGTTGAACTACACTAGTGGTATTTCAGATGAAGCAAGGACCGAATTCCGTTACTCTAACTCCATACGGTGTGATTACAACTGCAATCATTTCGGATTTGAAACGGCCCACTCCCACACCATCTTAGCGTGATTATGTTGAGCGTGTTACGACAGCATTTGCTCATGAGTAAGCCGAGATGTGGCGGTGGTTCCACAGCGGCGTTGTGCGTGCTCGGCAGTCAAACGAGTTTCTTGAAACACCATCAACAGGATAAAAGATAAGTAGGATTGTTTCGGATAATACGCTGACGGCAATGTGACTGCCTTGTCACCATCTTTCCCGAGGATGTTATGCAGTCCAAATCCCCAAGTTCCAGAACCCTTACGCATCACGGATGCCCCAGCCGAGTATATTGTGGCAATTAAATCGACATCGTGCTCAGCCACGATAGGCTAAATGTTGGAACTCTAGGGCCGGGAGAAACTTCACTCAGGCAACATCTAAAGGATACTTTGCTTCAGTGGTAAGAGGGATAATGGTAGCTAAAATATAGGGAGGGTAGGAAAGCTTCCGACATACTGGTGGCAAAATACTTACAGGCCCAGAAAAAGAGTTCGTAAAAAATAAGATATAAAATAAGTGTAAAAACGCAGGGTTCGTATAATTAGAGACAGCAATCATTCCGGTGCAAAAAAAAACAAATTATGGACAAGACTGCGAGAAGCAAGAAGTGACAGCACAAAGAAAAAGAACAACCAGATACCAGGTATTCAAAACTGGTTCCCAAACGGTAACCACCATCAAGATCTACGGGAACACAAATAAGAGAGGATCAAAAAGAAGGGAAAAGATAATATTTCAACTGAAACATCCTTTCGGTGTCTAGTCGAGAGGCCACCCAAAGAAAGCACGAGGGCTGGGATACTGCCAGGTTGCCAGAGCAAAGAAAGGATAAATCAAGATGTACAGGTCGGGTTTGAAGCACGAACCTTCCGGTCAGTAAAACCGAACTTCTACCACTGAACCATCTCAACCCTACCTACAAGACGAAATCTCAGTTAAAAACTCCAAAATCTTTCCACGAAGTCCAGACAATACCTGAGCTTTAGCTCTGGTAATTAAGCGCCTAAAGCGCCACAAAACTGCCTTCGTAGGTGTCAGAACTACAGTCTGTTGGGAAGTTAGCAATCGCCGGGGAAGGGAGTACTGCTCAACGGCTGATAATCGCGCAAATTTACTAAAATGAAGGTCTTCAAAGAAGCAAGGAACGAACTGCCTAGGAGAACGAATCTTGTGTTAACCTTTCATACACACGCGCCCTGCCCTCAAACAATCACTCCGAATTGATGAAAAGAAGCATACTGAAAGAACGCTATCCCCAAACAGGTAAGCCATTACGTAAAGCACGTCCTGAAACGCGAATGCTTATCATCAGTCCTATGAAGTTCTTGTTATGGCTCAGATGCAGTAAAATCCTACATTTACAGAAGCCACGTCCAGTGCAGAAAGGTCCCTAACATCATAACCCGAATCCTTTACTAAAACTGGAGGGCGAGTTTCATTTTATAAAAGCATAAAATTCAAATCGAGGAAGAGGTCTTAGCTTGACTACTATTTTCAAAACCAGCGGTAAATTTTGGTAGCATTTGAGAAGTATCACAAAGCTTTCCGCCTCCAGTGAAGGTAATCGAAAAGTTTTGCAGTAAAAACTCCACCCAAAATCGTCGTGCTCTTATTCACATGCCACATCAATTAATGTGACACACAGTTCACAAAATATTTAATCAAATTCGTGCTCGCGAAGTAACTGACAATCGATGTGCTAAATATTATGTACCGGCAATTCTTTGGGGCCGCTTAATGCCCACATCGCAGAAACTTCCAGAGGTGTAGCCATCAGTATCTTTCTTATTGAATTCTCTGTGCCATTTAACCGTAAATACATCAATGTCCGAGCACGGATGAACCCTCATTAAGGATGGTTGGATAAAATCGTTGACGGTGGACGCTGTCACACGAGAGGATGAGGGAGAATATAGCCTGAACTAAGCGACACAGATAACATGCAATTCACGCTTATAAAATTCCTTGTAGTAAGACCAACTTTTCTAAATGTCATCACGCTTGATGTGGTGTGCACCGTATTGCGATTCTGTTTTGGTTTATTCTGTACCAAGCAGTGCGTCAGGCGTTCACTGTTGACATATGTTTCGAGGAAGAAAATACAAAAGGCCACACAATCATATTCCAGGAGTGTTTCAGTCGTTAATTGATTCGCTCGATTTCCTACTGTTTGCCAAACCTACTCGCTCTTCTACACCTTCGTGAATGAGAGGAAAAACAATGCATGCCACTCAGCTTATTATCCACGATGGGAACAAATCAAGGAAAATGATATAGCAACGGCCAAAGACTTCTACAAAGAATTTTACATTCCAGGCTGTGTGACATACGGTCAACATAACATCATATACAGAACAACCACTCAGACATAGTTCAAAGTATAGGATGCTTGTTGCGGAAATTATAGCCCCACTTACGTTTTTCACCATTATCCCATTTCCAGAAGATACAGTTGGATCTTTATTTCTCTCATTTTAAATCTGATGAGTGATTATTAAGCTCGACAAAACCACGCCTTCTAGTTTGTCTCCACCTGATTAATATACGAAAGCGTAGTCAAGCACAGAATGTATGGACGTGCAAACCTAAAAGTTGAGTTGGCCTGAAAGTGGAATGCATACATGTATTTACTTTTTGCATTTATTAAAAGTATACTGAAGTGATTTGTGAAGAGTTAGACGCTGAAGGATCGTAGGATACAGTCGAAGTCTCTGTCGACGAGACGAGACGGCACTGGGTAGTGGTTCCTATAGTTCACCTCTTGGTGTTGTCACACCAACTAACGTTCTTCTGAACTCTAGAGCAGATTCTGATGTCAAAGGATTCAGTCCTACTAACCGGTATTCGTGAAAAATGAGATGATTCTCAAACTTGCTCCGCAGACCTAAAGAGTTGACGTTAAAATGTCACTGTAATGTTCATGTGAAGGATATAAGTATATATGCAATAAATAGGGGAAATATAATAATCCCCTCATTTTGACAAACTGTCATACAGCAACTGGGGGTTGCAGTTTCCAAGATATGTTCACTGTAGTACAGGAGCAAGGCAATCGTTGAAATACGACCGTCTGAAAATTACTTTTATAAAAGTGGCCTTTGTTACATTTATTTATGGATCACACGTTGCTACTCTTCAGTTGCTAGTAGTTATAATTTCGAATGACTAATTGAAGTCGAGCTGAACCAAACACAAAGTAGCTCACTTGGTAACCACTGAAACAAAACTTGGTTTATTCCTGAAGGACAAAACCCGTATAAGGTTGTTCTGGCTTCGTTATCCCATGCGGGATAGCCGATTTGGGTATAACATGCTTTTATTTCATTCGGATTAATCGAAACGGTTACCGGATGTCACGTGGCAATTAGTGAAAGTGAAGGCTTCGCTGTCATTTCACACACATGAAATACACGTTGGTTTCATCTGGCAAAAGCTCGCATGAACGGCACCTTTCAAACCGCAAAAGAAACAGGTGTGATATTCTGTTTCTGGCGTTTGCACAGAACCAGAAATAGCCGATTGTTCTTTCACCGCCTGGGATCCGTTCTTGAAGTGTAGTCCAAGGTTTTCTTCTGTCGTTCTTAATGAAGACCGCTAGGACGTTCTGGATTTCCATATGCATGATTTCATATATTACCTGTGAAGGATTGCTACGATGGAGGAGTAGTGGGATATTCAGTGTGAAACATCCCTTTCGATTTCACCCCCGCGAGAGATGATGGTAGCAACTAAACAGTTGTGGAACCCGTGAAGGATTTCTGATGGTTCTGTGCTGGGCGTGGAGACTCATCCCGCGTGGGTTAAATGAGTCCTAACCCTCCGAGGAACAGGGTCATTCAACCAAACTCGGGATAGCCGGGTCACACACAGCATGGTAAGAATTAGTTCCTCTCATTTTCCATCCAATCGAAGTGACTGTATACCGAAATTGGTAATACGTTAGAGTACTCCAGGAAAATAGTGAGTGTCTTCAATTGAACTCTCTTCACAATCCGATCCATAATTAGTAATTAAAATTGAAGTTCGGAAAGGATAAATTCTTCACTTAGCGTGGTGTTCCTTTGATATACACTTTTCGGCTTCTCGTGAACTTCCCAGAGTTCAGAGTTAGATCAGATCATCCATTTCGCACTCCTAGAACAGCATCACACGAAAATGTAATCCGATAATCGTTTTGTGCCTACTTTCGACAGTGGCCACAAACTTCTCCTATCTCACCATTCTTGAAGCTGTCCGTTCGGACATAGTTCAACTACTCAACGAACGACGCTGACCCCAGAGGAGATTTAATTGAATCCGGAGAAAATCTACCCAAATAAGGGCAGAGGGTGACCCGGGGTGCTCCCACTGGTGTTAAGCCACTGTCTCAGAAACTGCCGTTCCAATTTAGCAGTTGCGCAGTTCTTAGGAGACTTGTGTATAGCCGACGGACCCATCAGCCTAAAGGTTCACTCAAATCCCATCCCAATTCATGCAGTTCTGTTTATCTGAGTGAGATAAGCGGTTACTTCTTGCGACCGAGACAGCAAAGTATTATATCCCAGCAAGTAGGTACAACTTAGCTATCTCAGATCAGTCCGTCTAGGAAAGTTACACTTTCGAGAAATCTTTATGCTACTCAATATTGGAATGCACAAAGCGCCTGATAATGGATGGCTTCACAAAATGCAAAATGAAACTACTTGTACGCTAAAGGTTTTTCCTGCTCTTGTGCA